TGCTCTTTCAAGGCACCAAGAGACCGCTGTTGGATTACTTCCGAATATTTGGCGGGCGGACTTTAGTGCAGTGCGAGATAAGACTTCAGTTCTGAACTGTGCGATCTCATTGGCTGACTCTGTCCTGTTAGCCTGGGATAAATTTAAGTCATACCTATCAGAGGTTTCCACTCCCTATATTCCACTCATGAGGAAAAGAGGGTTACGGGCACAGCCTCCATGGATAGATACTACAGAAAAGTACCTACTCAAGGAACGGTCTAGATGCCTACCTACCAAGCAACTCCATCCGCCAGTACCTATGATAGTTATCGCGAGATTTGAAATGAATGTAATCAACATCTTAGGACTGTTCGTCTCCAGTACGAGCAGGGTTTAGCGGACTCGGCTGCGGCTAATCCCAATAAGTTTTTCGCTTACCTTGAAAGAAGCAGCGGGGCAAAGCTGTCTATACCAGTGTTATTGCGAGCAGACAGGACCCGTGCGCAAACTGACTATGACAAGGCTTGTATACTTAGTGATCGGTATAGTGGGGTCTTTGCTCTGGAGACCTCTTTACCACAGGTTGAATTGGTTTCAAGAGTTCCAGAGGATTCTTGCTTAGCTAAGTTTAACATAACGGAGACTCAGGTCTTCAAGCTACTGCAAGACATTAACCCGTCTAAAGCTTCCGGTCCTGATTCAATTCATCCGAAGCTGTTGCATGAATTGGCCACTGAGCTGAGTGGTCCGCTCACATGCGTGTTCTCAATATCGCTTGACAGCTGCATCCTACCTTGGGAATGGAAGGAAGCAATCATCTGTCCGATCTTTAAAGGTGGTGACAGCGCTTTGCCTGCGAACTACCTGCCTGTCAGTTTGACAGGCGTAGCTACTTCGGCTTGGGCAACCGGGTAGTATATAGCCCTCTGACGAAACCATGGATTTTGAAGTGTTTTGTTGTTTTGCTGTTTCTGTACCTTCTTTTGAGTCCCATGGTTACTGATGGCTCTATGTCTATTCGTAGACTGTTGCATCGATATATATATATATATATATATATATATATATATATATATATATATATATATATATATAAGGAATTCGGGGGCGAACCACGTGAATAGATTCAACCTTCTTAGTGTTGTGCAACATAGACTCCGCAAGGATTTTCATGTCCGACTAATGTACTTGTAGATCTTGAAAGTTGGGCCGAAGCGGTAGACAGTGATCACGCTGTTGATGTGCTTTTCGTGGACTTTACGAAATCTTTTGACACTGTTCCTCATCTTCTACTCACACTAAAGTTGATATCTTACCGTATATCTGGTCGCGCCTTTCAATAGGTGTCTGCCTTCCTTGTTGGAAGGGAACAGTGCGTACGGGTGGATCGTAGCCTTTTGCTCAGGCAAGCTGTCCTTGGTGGCGTCCCGCAGTGCTCGGTATTGGGGCCATTGTTGTTTGTGATCTATGTAAATGACTTGCCAGGATAGCTAGGACTGTCATCACTAATGTTTTCTGACGACCTTAAGCTCAGGAATATTGTGGATATCGCGGGGGTCCTGAGGCAATTCGAGGTACCTTGCACAGGTTTTGAGAATGGTCTACTTTATGGTTGATGCCCATAAATAGGCCCAAGTGCTCTGTTCTCCGAATCGGAGCTGCTAATCCTCCCACCTGTTGTGTTGTCGGTGGTGATGAACTCCCTGTTGTCACTCAGCATTCATTCTGGCAACAATGGGAATAAAGCTGTTTGTCGGGGGTTTCGTATGATGTGGTTTATCGGCCACTCTTTCGGAATCCTAATGGCCAATTTGTTTGTAAACCTTTTCTCGGCATTCGTCCGACCCCACCTGGAATATTGTATTCAGGCTTGTCCATCATGTCTTATCCGAGACAAAATGGACTTGGAGCGGGTGTTACAGGTTGACACTCGCTTAGTGCAGGGTCTATGGGGGCAGACGTATCCTGAACGCTTGCTCAGTTTGGGGATTTACTCATTGCCCTACCATAGGATAAGAGGGACCTGATTCTCACTTATCGTATTTCGACGGGTAAAATCGACCCGGACTTGTCAGGGCTATTTAGTCCCGCTACGTTATCTAATCTCCGCGGTCACCCACTGAAACTGCATAAACCACGGTCTGATAGGATTGGGACGAACACTCGCCTGTCGCGCCAAGGTATAGATCGCTGGAATTCGCTTCCAGATCACGTGGTAACTGAACCTACCGTTAATGCTTTTGCGCGCCAGCTCGATGCTCTTTGGTGGGAACACCAAACCTTTCCTTTTTTCTGACTCACTTTCCCTTTTCAGTTTTTTTTAGTGATCTCCTTATCTTGGTATTCTGCTTGCATAGCTCTTTCTACTTTCTCTTTCTGCCTTCCGAGTTTACTTTTTTCTCTTTCTCACTTCGCGTAACCGGCCCAGCAGGGACTGCTAGGGCAGGATACCTGGGCACTAATTGGTTAGACAGAGTGTGATGCGGTGTTTGTTTTAGGTCCATCAGTATTTCAAAGTCTGCCAACTCCTGGTTCAACTACCCGCTGAAGAAGGAACACTCACAGGATAACCCTATTGTACCAGTCCCGCTTGAACTTGAACTTGACTGATAGAGAGCAGAAGGGAGATCCCGTGTCAGCTCCTTCACTTCCCGATCTTCCAAAGATTGCAGGCATAGTAGCTGTGGCATAGCTTAGGGTGTAGTATCAGTCCTGCAGGATCCTGGAGTACTCAGTAAAAAGATTTCTAGCAAACTTTTGAAACTCGTTTCTGACTGCGCATTGACAATCTGGTCCGGCAGCCGATTCCAGTCATTAATTACTCGAGTAGAAAGAGCAACATCTGAGCGGACTTTGAATCTCCTCGATTTAAACAGCTTCCAGCTGTGACCTGGAGTCGAACTGCCAAGTCTTAACTGAAAAACTGTCCCAGCTCGTTTCCCAGTTCTTCTCGTATGATACGCCTAGTATAAATGAGGTCTCTGCGACGTCGGCGATAGTCTAAGGGAAAAAGGTTCTTCCTCTCTAGTCGGGCGGGATACGGTGGGATCACCCTAGACAGATTATTCCGGGTTGATTGGGCCGCCCCAACATCATTAAACAATAAGACGATATCGTCCTCATAATCAGGATTAACTAACTTCTCACCGACAGCACATCATCCCCTACATCGTGAGACTTCGCAATGGAACACTCCATGATGGAGCCCACGACGACATTGAACAAGCATAGAAAATTGCGCAACCCTGACGGACGCTACTTGTTGTCGGAAATGCATGCGAAAAACCACCGTAGACCCGGACTTCGTCTGTGGTGTTTGAATACGGGGCACGTAAATTGTTCACCTATTTCCTGGGGACATCCTTCCGCGCAAGTGTTTTGAACAGAATACATCGATCTACTGAGTCTAACGTACTCTTACGTTCGATGAACACAGCTATTGGCCTGCGGTACTTGTACCGCTTCTCTGGCACCTGCCGCAAAGTGAATATGTGGTCTAGACAGCCACGTCCTGGGCGGAAGCCTGCTTGCTCTTCCATATTCCGGGATTCTCGTCCCGCACTTAGGCGACGGAAAAGAGTTGAAGCCATTAATTTTGTCACCACCGGCGTCAGGCTATTACCCTTGGGGTTAGCGCTGTCGGGGCGGCTGTTTTTTTGTATATTGTCACTATAATCGATTCACTCCAGTCAGGTGGAATGGTCTCTTTCTTCCAGACTTGTTCGAACAGAGAGGTCAGTGCTTTGCATAGAACCTCACAACCATCCTTAAATGATACGGGTGCGAGAGTATGCGGGCCAGCAGCACCAAAACCATTGAGGGTTGTAGTCGCATTTCGGACCTCAGCCTCCGACGGAGCCACTAAGCTAACTGGCCATGGCTCATCCTGCATCACTTGGTTAGGAAGAGGTCCGGAAGCACGGGGCCAACTGAACTGATCTTGAAAGTGCTCCGCTCGACGGGCCATACAGCGTTGCTTACTGTGCATCAGTGCACCCTCGGTGTTTTTGCTTATCTCACTGACGCTTGATTCCCTGGGACCAGTGGTGCGGATCAGTTGGAGGAGCGGATGTGGAAACGAAATGGACGCCATCCATTTCAAACCCCCAATCTGGACTACCAGGTGACTGAGTTCGTCTGACCGCCAACCATTGACCAACCTGGTAGGGGTAGCTCTCAAGGGCCTAATGGCCCCACCCAGTATAGCTCAGCGGGTTGACGAGGCAAATCTTCACACCACCTTAAAGTTCAGTCTCGTTGCGATTGCGCTACGCACGTACTCGTCTGTGGACTCAACCTGCTGTCCCCAACTGGATTGAACAAGTCTGATGCCGCTTTCTGGCGATGTTTGTCACTTGTCAAATGTTAGCTTGCTATTTTTAACCGTATGTTACTCTCAATGTGTAGGTTGCTTGACTCCGTATGCATCCTCAAGATGTTTAGATTTTAAGCCAGCTTTCTCTTCTCTACTTTTATTTCTTACTTCCTATGTCCTTCCGTTAGTGCGGCGGATATGCATCATTTCAAATGATTGTTGTAATGCTGCTGTTGTTGACGAGTGTTGATGACGACTTGTTAGTTCAACTGGATTGATGCGATCAACTCTTACTATACTATCGCCCCTAACATTACATGCACCACGGGTCGCTTTTCTTCATCGTATAAGAAGCTTCCTTCTGAGAGAAGTATCTTTCTCACATCTGGCTAGCTTCTGGTGGTTAATGTGTAACTCCATCCTCTTTGGCCTGAATGATGAAACCTTCGTAGGGCATAATGGCTCCTGAGATCGTAAGATGCCAGTTTGTTTCACTTCACTCGCTCTTTTAGTGTACTGTTCCATCACTGCTTAGCACAATTATCACTGCCGGTGCCTCCTCTCGCAAAGATCTATGTGCCATATTTAATTTGATATCTTCGCTTATCATCCCATATTACTTAGGCACTATTTCAAGTAACTTCGATCCACTATCATGTTATCTGATCCTTTTATCATGCACGCATTTTCACTTTTTAGGAGAATGATTAAGTTGTCGTTCACGAATGCTCTTTTGTTTCTGGGACTGGGATATTTCTTGTTCACGGCCTGGACGTTAGTGGAAGTATTTTTTCCTGCGGCCTGCCAGCCCCCAGCTACATGCCTCATGCCTGCATGGAATCCAGAGGATCAGGTTTCGGTATGGTGCCTTTATGTCAGCTATTCCCGTAATTCAGTTGGAAGTAACTTTCCTGAATCATCCTGGTGAAGTGCTTTTGAAGACGGGTTTCTTCCCAATCGCATCTGGCCTTGAAAAGTGAGATGGCATTGCACATATATATATCGGCTAGTCATCAATCTCTTGTTCCACCATCCGATGTATTTAACAACAAAACTGTCGAGGCCCGCATATCCCTGTCAAATAATGCCAAATTCATCTTTTCGATCGTAGTTCCTCTAACGATACACAAGGAGCCTGTTCGTACTGCTTTCAATCTGCTTGGTGGAAAGGTAAGGCTTCCATCAGAAGTTCGTCAACTTTTCTTTTCCTTGTGGATAACATCCTGTCTTTCTTGAACTTTTATCTCGCAGGATGAGTCAACTGCGCTTAGAAGCCCCTCTTCGGTTGAACAAACTTCCGTCAACTTTTGGTTATCGACTCTCCATATTTACCTACTGTCCTCGGCCGTTGGATTCAATCGGCACTCTGTCCCTCCTGAACTTATTCCTCATCTCAAAGTTATTCAAGCAGGGTCACATACTTTGTATCAGCCACTGATCTATTCTAATCCAGTAATGCAGAAAAGCACGGATTGGATCCAGGTCCCAGCTCCTACCATATTTCCAAACGGCACTATGCAATTCCCGGAGATGCCCTTTTCTGTTTCCATAAAACCGCAGACTATTGGCAAATTCCGCTTACGATGTATGCTAGGTTCAATGGCGGAGCAGCTACGTTCGTATGGTGAGTCAGTTATAAGCAGAAACATCTCAAGTGTTGCCTTAATCAACCTCTATTTCGCTAGGCTCATCCTTATCTTTGGCGTTGCATCATGCCTCGGAAATTCGCCATTCTTACTGCGATTCCTATTTGAGTGACCTGAGGCATCCTACTTCCATAAGACAAATCACTACTTCCCATGCTTAAATCCACGATTATAAGACAAGAGTTGGGACCGAAGAGTTTGCTGTACTGGGGCAGTCCGCTTCTGCCCATCAGCGCATACCACCGATTCGCTGAGTACGCTTCATTTCATTTGATCAACTTGAATCCTTACATTGGAGCGTAGTGAATCTATTTGCCTCGACTCAATTCTCCAATGAACGCCACGAACTACAAGCTTGGAGTCGAAATGAATTAAAATCTTGTGATCGAATTTTCAAGATTAAACGAAGAATACTAGAAGTGATTGCGTTGAAATACCTCTGAAAATGCAAGTGTATTACTGACTTCATGGCTGTGTTTATAGCAACCGATATTGCCGATTCGGTGCTCTCCATGCGAGTTGACACGTACTGAACTAAAGGAACTTTTTTGTAACTATTTTTGTGATTTCTTACTTCCCAATGCGTTCACTCAGCGGTTGCAGTGCTTTAGGACATTGCACATGGAAGCAACCGTTGAACCGGGTATGCGAAGAATACAACCTAATCAACCTAGGCGGTCCGAGTTTCCCAAACGCTTCAGAGCAGCACCAAACATCAACTGGTGGACCTAGATACCATCCGTTCAATACTACCACCAGATATGAGCAATACTTCATAGCCGTCAGCGGTTGAACGCGTTGACTTTCAATGTACTCACTCACTGACCGTCTCTAATTCACACAGATCATTAGTCACCTTGCAACATTACTCACTGTTGGCTTATATGCATATGTCCCGTGGTTCACACATGTGGTTGTTTGGAAGTCGGCGGACATTTTACTTTTAGTTGCAGTCCTCTTTTCTGCGGTCCAGCCACCGAAGCGTATATAGCTACCTAGTTAACTTAATAGGTTCGAACCGATTGCTTGTAGGCTGCAAATGAAACGCATAGTTGCTGCAGCGCCCGTCAGAAATGACAGCAATCTACCCTAGAGCAACATTATATGAGAAACTCAATGCGGCATAAACAGGTTGTTTAGTGATATAACGCTAGCCTATGTGGGACAGTCATTCATGACGTACTCAAATGAGCACGACTCACTCGTGGCGCTGCTCTCTCTTCGATCTACTGCGCGTCTTCATTTACGGCCTATCGGTGATAGTTATGGATGCACTCTGCACCTTGCATCCGTAGTGATCCATGATTTTTTCGATTCCATTATACATATCGGTTTTCTCCATATTACTCATTGGTAGTGCATCGCACTCTTCCAAATTTTCCACTACCTTTTCTCTCGTAGACAATTTTTTCGATCTTCGACGTTGCTCCATGCACGTAGTATTTTTCTTTCCTCTTCTGTACCACCTCACTCCACTGACATAACCCCCCCTATCTCTACCGAGCAATAGTGCTTACAGGCCCTTGCGGACTAACTGCGTCATACGGTCTCTTCCATTTAGACAGGAATTTATTCTCGCTTATGCCACATGCGGTTACACTTACATGGTTTCCATATTTCACCTTCGAACCGAGTGGAAAATCTTTGTGTGGTTTTCTAATGTTAACTTCAAATCTGCCCATCCTCTGGGCTTGAGTTACGTTCAAATTTCGCTTCGCTAGTCTCCTGTTCATCGATGCTTCCTCTTGCGTTAATTGGGGCGGGTTCGCCCCTTCTCACCTCTAGATCCACATGAATTCCAGTTCAGTGACTATACATTAACTGGAAGGGGGTATTTCGGGTATTTACTTGCTTGGACGCTCTGCGAGCCGACAGAAATTGCCATCATCATCATTACACGTTGACTAAAGGTGAAAACTACACTTGAGCTAATATGTCGCAATACCAAGAAGTGAAATACTAAAAATTACAGCATGCAGTATAAAAGCCAAGAATAAATATAATGCTTAGGACCATAGTACACATCTGGTGTAAGAACGTGGTTGGAGGAGGAAGACAAGCGGGAGACGGGGTACAGGGAAACAATACAAATGTCACTGAGGTCAGTTCTTTGCTACGTCAGCAAGTGTATTCAACCAGACGTACTCATCGTCCTCTGGATCCCAGTCCGGCAGTCGGGAGACACTAATCGACGCCAACTTTGAGGAGAGAGACTTCATTCGTCTTGACCAAGTCTTCACTTAGCTCCCCTCTACTTCCATCCACACTCCCGCCACGCAAACAACGCACTACACGGGAGTCGGTGTGCTGGCATGCGGAACACGTGGCGCAGCCATCCTAGCTTGGTGCGTGATATAATGGTGCTGAATTGTTTATTCACTCTTCCTGCACCAAGTACGCTACACCGAACAATCTCATTGCTCACGCGGTTTTCCCACCAGGTATGAGCTAAACTGTGAAGGTAGCGATGGTCGCACATAACTAGCCTCTTCACGTCTGCCGATTTAATTGGTCAGATTTCACTACCGCAGGATTGGGTCAAACTTACGGCTACATTGTACGCGCTACGCTTTGGGCAGGAAATGATGTCGCGTCAGCGCCATAGGTCGCGAAGCTTAGCAAAAGCACCTCCAGCTTTTGCCACCTTCTATTCCACAGGCGCTAATATAGCTGCCTAAGTAATTAAATTCCTGAACGACTTCCAAGTGATCACTACCAAGAGTCACCGCAGGGGTGTATCCTTGCCAATTCTGCAAGAGGACTATGCATTTTTATGATGCAAAACGACTGGCATCCAGCGCTACTTGGCACCTTTGGGAGCTGTCACAGCTACGGGCAATTTTGTGGGCGTACTCGATGTAAGAAAGTCGTTCACCTGGTAGAAGCTCCACATTTTGCAAGTTGTACCCAATTATTGCTGGTTACAGTAATTCGTCAATGGCGAAGTAAAAAAGGAAGGTGACAGCGCGCATCCTTGTCTCTCATCACTGGAGATATTGAAGTTTGACGACAGTTTGCCATCCGTCTTTAATCTGTCCGAAATATGCGGGTTCAGTGGTCTGACAATGTTTGCGTATGTCTTGGACTCACCTTTTCTGAGCAGAGAGGCCAAAAGAGCAAATCGGTCCACCGAACCGAGGGCACATTTGATGTCTAGGAGCGTGGCTACGGGGGTTCACCACTAAATATGGCGGTGTCCCGACAACGGACGTAATGTGAAGATATGGTCAGTGCAGCCTCGATTTTGACGAAACCCTGCTTCTGGCTTTCACGCATGTCAGTCTCATATGGAGTACGTCAGGGACAAGTAACTTTGAGGCGATTGAGATCAGGCTGATTTCTCCATGATTGCCGCATTGCGAACGGGAGCCTCACTTGAAAAGTTGGAGCATGACCGAGCGGATTCAGTCTGTTGGAATAGTTTCTCGCTTCCACAATTTGATCAGTGAGTTGTGCAAATCATCCACCGAACTTGAATGGGCTGGAAAAAGTCTATCTGCTCCTGCGCAGTAATTCAATTTCAACAATGAACACGTTCTACTGCGCGTGAGAGCTAATCCAAGAGAAATGAGCACGGAGAACAGCGATCAATGCAGGATAAGGAAGAGGATAACTGGCTGAATAAACTGCTTTCCAGAGTGTTTGGCCCAACACTTCAAGCGTTTTGATAAGCTATGGATTGATTGTCCACTCTCGTCACGTATAGTCTTGCTTATACCAGGTCTCCAGTTGCCGGTTTCGTGTATCAGATCGAATGAATTATGGTGCTTACTAACGTCAGCGGATGTTTTCGTCTCCGACGCACTGAGACCATCAGACTTTCCGGTTTCTCTTCAGGCTAGCACGCAGTTTTGCCCTATCTTCGCAAGTCTCGTTATGTTCGCCTTCAGCCTTAACACATCGGGGGCATTTAGTAGTCCCAGAGACTGTGTAGAGACCCAATGTCCAGGTTGGCAATTTGATTTGCCACATGAAGACATGTATGCTTATAGTAACGTTTGGAGAATTTACAACCTGTGCTCTTCAGCTTACTCAACCCGGATGCTAGCGTATATTGATGCGCATTCAGAACATCTTGTTTCGCTAATTGCTACGTTTTTACGCGCTCACAACCCCGTTGCGGACGTCCGACGAAGCGCACCTGCAAGTTGCCAGATAGAAGCGCGTGGTCCAAGTCCACGGTCGTGCTCCAACTCGAGCGACAGTTTCGTACACCTCCTCTTCAACAGTAACTGATTATGATATGATCGGTTTACGTTCATGACTGATCCGATTCTGGTGGGCGCCATATCACACTTCTGCAGACGCTGTGTCGGAAGTTAGTGCTCGTGAGAAAGAGACGAGTATCTACACACGGGTGTAGCGACCACTCACCGTTATCATTAAGGGGGCTACATCATGTTGGCGGCCCAGATGAAGCGGACCAGTTTACTATTTTCCAACTTGGGCGTTCAGATCACTAGTAAGCACCACGGTATCCGTACTCTTTCTGTGGCGAAGCAGCACGTTCAGTTGGTGATAGAAGTCATCTTTCACCGAGTCCGTACTACAGTTTGTGGGGGCGTTGACAGCAGTAACCAACGGTCACAGTTTGTCCCTGCTCGACTTCGAAGCTTTGGATTAGCCGGCCAATCTGACATTGCACATTCGGCCATTGATTGGGATCCAGCAGATAATGGCGGCTTCAACCCAGGGACTGATAACGTTGCCCACACCTGATTGTCCAGCATTGGAAGCTGTAACACCTCCGGACAAGCGCAATGAAACAATATGGCCAGTGTCGCATTTGGAGATCACAGGGTAGTCACAGAGCTTGCAGGAGGCTTCATATAAACAGCAGCTATCGATCGATAATCTCTAGTGTTCGGGCACGTGTTACCTATTGCCCATTTCCAAAAATTGCGCACATTGAGGTATGCCAGTCCTAGCTAGAATCGACGGCTCCAAATAGAAAGCAATGAATTGACATTGTTCGCTT